CAGCATCAACAGCTTCTACTGGTCCATCTACCTCAGCTGAAACTGGCTCAACTTCAACTGGAACTGGCCCAACTGGAGCTCCAACAGCTACACCATCATCAACATCTTCTACTGGTCCATCTACATCAGCTGAAACTGGCTCAACCTCAACTGGAACTGGCCCAACTGGAGCTCCAACAGCTACACCAGCATCAACTGCTTCTACTGGTCCATCTACATCAGCTGAAACTAGCTCCACTGGAACTGGTCCAACTGGAGCTCCAACAGCTACACCAGCATCAACAGCTTCTACTGGTCCATCTACCTCAGCTGAGACTGGCTCAACTTCAACTGGAACTGGCCCAACTGGAGCTCCAACAGCTACACCATCATCAACATCTTCTACTGGTCCATCTACATCAGCTGAAACTGGCTCAACTTCAACTGGAACTGGCCCAACTGGAGCTCCAACAGCTACACCAGCATCAACAGCTTCTACTGGTTCATCGACATCAGCTGAAACTGGATCAACTGGAACTGGCCCAACTGGAGCTCCAACAGCTACACCAGCATCAACAGCTTCTACTGGTCCATCTACATCAGCTGAAACTGGCTCAACCTCAACTGGAACTGGCCCAACTGGAGCTCCAACAGCTACACCAGCATCAACAGCTTCTACTGGTCCATCGACATCAGCTGAAACTGGCTCAACTTCAACTGGAACTGGCCCAACTGGAGCTCGAACAGCTACACCATCATCAACATCTTCTACTGGTCCATCTACATCAGCTGAAACTGGCTCAACCTCAACTGGAACTGGCCCAAATGGAGCTCCAACAGCTACACCATCATCAACATCTTCTACTGGTCCATCTACATCAGCTGAAACTGGCTCAACCTCAACTGGAACTGGCCCAACTGGAGCTCCAACAGCTACACCAGCATCAACAGCTTCTACTGGTTCATCGACATCAGCTGAAACTGGATCAACTGGAACTGGCCCAACTGGAGCTCCAACAGCTACACCAGCATCAACATCTTCTACTGGTCCATCTACATCAGCTGAAACTGGCTCAACTTCAACTGGAACTGGCCCAACTGGAGCTCCAACAGCTACACCATCATCAACATCTTCTACTGGTCCATCTACATCAGCTGAAACTGGCTCAACTTCAACTGGAACTGGCCCAACTGGAGCTCCAACAGCTACACCATCATCAACAGCTTCTACTGGTCCATCTACCTCAGCTGAAACTGGCTCAACTTCAACTGGAACTGGCCCAACTGGAGCTCCAACAGCTACACCATCATCAACATCTTCTACTGGTCCATCTACATCAGCTGAAACTGGCTCAACTTCAACTGGAACTGGCCCAACTGGAGCTCCAACAGCTACACCAGCATCAACAGCTTCTACTGGTCCATCTACATCAGCTGAAACTGGCTCAACTTCAACTGGAACTGGCCCAACTGGAGCTCCAACAGCTACACCATCATCAACAGCTTCTACTGGTCCATCTACATCAGCTGAAACTGGCTCAACTTCAACTGGAACTGGCCCAACTGGAGCTCCAACAGCTACACCAGCATCAACAGCTTCTACTGGTCCATCGACATCAGCTGAAACTGGCTCAACTTCAACTGGAACCGGCCCAACTGGAGCTCCAACAGCTACACCAGCATCAACAGCTTCTACTGGTCCATCTACATCAGCTGAAACTGGCTCAACCTCAACTGGAACTGGCCCAACTGGAGCTCCAACAGCTACACCATCATCAACAACTTCTACTGGTCCATCTACATCAGCTGAAACTGGCTCAACTGGAACTGGCCCAACTGGAGCTCCAACAGCTACACCAGCATCAACTGCTTCTACTGGTCCATCGACATCAGCTAAAACTGGCTCAACTTCAACTGGAACTGGCCCAACTGGAGCTCCAACAGCTACACCAGCATCAACAGCTTCTACTGGTCCATCTACATCAGCTGAAACTGGCTCAACTTCAACTGGAACTGGCCCAACTGGAGCTCCAACTGCTACACCAGCATCAACTGCTTCTACTGGTCCATCGACATCAGCTGAAACTGGCTCAACTTCAACTGGAACTGGCCCAACTGGAGCTCCAACAGCTACACCAGCATCAACAGCTTCTACTGGTCCATCTACATCCGCTGAAACTGGCTCAACTTCAACAAAAAGCTCAACTACATATAAACCATCTACAACTCGCAAACATAAACGTAATTTTACTTTAACTAAACTAAAACAATTATCCTTTCCCTTTAAAGCATGCTGCAATTACATGGTATGCAAACAATGTAGTTATAACCAATATTGTGGTGGATTTGATAGTTACCCCGATCCATGTGTTGATAAAGATTACACTTATAAATATTAGATAACTATGTCTTAATATATGTAGCACTTTATTACAAAAAAAGTAGTTTTTAGTCTGATAAAATTTTATCTTAATTATATTTTGCTTAATAAACTATTTACATACACTTTATATTTTCGATAAATGGGATTATATGTATTAGGAACCGAAATCCGTTACACATAAAGCACATAAGGCAATGAACCCATCCTATCCCCAGTCTTGAGTCTTGGTATCTTCCGAAGTTTTTACGCTGCGTAGAAAACAGGGTATGTCAAGCGCAATTTTAATAAAAGAATAATTCCCACCTCATTCAATTCTTTTTCTTCCCTTTTTCTTCTTTCAATTTCTTCTCCCCATTCCCATTCCGCCCATTGTCTTCTTTTTTGTTCCTGATCCCATTGCCATCGTTGAAAAGGTGAAGAACCTGAAGGTGGTGGTCCTCCAAAAATGTCATCAAAAGGAGAAAATGGGCGCCTTCTTTGTCTGTCAGATGTTGCTCCAAATTGCCATTTCCATTCCTTTTCCCATCCCTGATTTTGAAATGGAGGACGAGGATGAAAATCTGTGCTCCATGTTGGAGGTTGTCTTTCTCTACCAGTACTTGGCCTTTCTTGAGAAGTGCCAAAACGTAATTGTCTGTCATATTCTCGACGTTTCTGAAAAATATTAAATCAAAATTTTATCCCAAATGGTAAGACACCAAAATCTGTTTGATTTGATTACTTTGAACAAAATTATGACACGGAATCTTCTTTGGAAAAACTGTTTATATGCTGGAGGGTAAAGGTCTTCGCGACACGATGCAGCAGCAAAAACTTTTTTCCGCGGAGGCCTTATGTGAGGAGTTACTTAAAACAAATGGGCATAACTTTGCAAAGTTCAATCAAGGAGATTTTTGTGTCATTCGACTAATTGTAAGCTCGATGATCCCCTTGGAATAAACTATTATTTGTTATTCAAATTTTTCACCTTAAAAAATCAGCATGGTCCCACCCCCATGGTTTTTTGATTTTTAGGGTTTGTAGATTAGGGGACAAATTTAAAATTGAAAAAACGATTTTAAATTTTCCAAAAAATATTATTCTAACGTTAAATAAATAAAATTTAGTTTTTCCTTTCTTTTTAGCCAAAAAACCGACGAAATTCTACATGTGTAAAGGAGATATTTAAATCTAAAATTATTGACTAATTTAAAAGTTATCCCCTAATATAGTCGTTTAATTCTAATTAAAAAAATAACTAAATACTTGTTCATCCTTCAATGTTTCATAAGCATTAGAAATTTCAACAAATTTTTTGTTTGATGCATCACTTGAACCGGCAACATCTGGATGATACTTTAAAAAATAAATTTATCTTAAAACTTTACAAAATCCTAACCCTTTTAGAAAGTTTATAAAAAGCACTTTTTAATTCTGTTTGAGTTGCATTTTGACTAACTTCAAGAATTTCATATAAATTTTTTTGTCCAGAAGTGCCAAAAGATTGTCGAAAAATAATTTTTCCAATTCTTTTATTAATTAATTCTCCAATATTTGATGTTGAATAAAGTCTGCTACAACAAGGAACTACTTGAAATGTTTCCACAAAAATTGAGATTGCATTTGTAAATAAAGTAGTAGCTTTTTTGTTGTTAAAACAACGAATTTTTAACATCTAATTAAAAAAAATTTTTAATATTTTTTGACAAAAACTTGATAAATTTTTAAAAATTGGAGAGACTCCAATGGATTAATTCTGAATAAGACAGAGAAAGAATTAAGAAATAGTGTGTTATTTTTTAAATATTTACTCTTTTGGCGTTAACGGTGGGGTATGATTCCGTGCACACGATTCCGTGCACACGTTTCCGTGCACACGATTCCGTGCAGGCACGTTTCCGTGCACACGATTCCGTGCAGGCACGTTTCCGTGCACACGATTCCGTGCACACGTTTCCGTGTCCGTTATAAAAAACACGTTTCCGTGCCCAATTTCTTTTTAATATAATAAACCATAAGAAAAGGTTTTGAGGGGTACAGTGAATATCAAGGGACTTGTGCATGACATCGAGACATCAACAAGGGGATATTGGTGGATTTGGAGGAAAAAATCTCAAAAAAATTTTTTTTTATTTTAAAAAAATTAGAAGAACCCTGCTTCTAACCTATGACCAACAGAATCTTCGCTGGAAAAACTGTTTTTGTGCTGCTACGGAGGGTAGGCCGGGCATGGTCTTCGCTACACGATGGCCGTGCTTCGCTGCGGTCGTGCTCGCTGCGCTCGCGGCGACCGTAGCGAAGCGGCGGCCGTCGTTCCGCTCGACATGCCCGGCTTCCTCCGCAGCGGCAAAAACTTTTTTCCGCGTAAATTTTTTGAATTGAAAAGAAAAATACTGAAGCAAAGTTGATAAGTTGATTACAAGGGGGATTAAAATACTTAAAAAATATTTAAAATTTTATAAAAATTTAAAAAAATAAAAATATTTAAATAATTGGGCACGGAAACGTGTTTTTTATAACGGACACGGAAACGTGTGCACGGAATCGTGCCCGCACGGAATCGTGTCTAACCGTGGCGTTAATTTATTTTAATTTTTTCTTGGCATTCTGCTTTATTTTTCTAATTTTTGAGGAGAAGGTGACACGTTTTTTAATTGCATTTTCGTATAGAATTTATGGATTTATTATTAAATTTTCTTAAGCAAAATCATGTAAATGGGTTTAAAAAATGTTTTAAATTAATTTTTAAAAAGAAATTTAGAAATGAATGGTGGAAACAAAAAGAAGATTTCTATTGTGTTAAAATCGACATTACTCGGTAATGGTTTGCAAAATGAACAATCTGTAAAGCAAGTGAATGAAGAAAAGATTCCAATAAATAGAATTGAGGTAATAATAATTGAAACTAGGGTAGCTCCCCGTACCTCGACAGCGACGATTTTTTTGTCAAAAACCCCGACCCGAACCCAGAAGGCTTGGGGAGCTACCCTATTTGAAACTTTACCTTTGAAAAGTTTAGATAAATAATTATTTTTTAGGATATAGTGTAGTTCACCGGAGGTAAAAGTTCAGGACGAGACATATGTCATTCGATTCGTCTCGGCGAGCCGAGTCGAACGGTACCATTCCCAATTTCAGGAAATAATTCTGGACCGAGTTATAGGTCCCGAAAAATTGAAAAACCATAGGGGGGAGTAAGCACTTTTTTGGGGTGAAAATTTCGAAAATGCAAATTATACCTCATTCGAAAGAGCTCGTCGAGCTGAGTCGAATGACACCAAAATCACCGTGATTAAACAAGATTAGACAAAGTTATGATACAAAAAACAAAAGACCTAAACCTATGGAGCGTCGGCGAGGCGCTTGTGCAAAACCACGCGCTTCGCGCGTGGTTTTGCGGCACGCGCCTCGCGGGGAGTCTACGGGCGTTGGGTCTGGGCTCGTAACATTAACCTAGTCCCATCTCCCTTGCTCTGGATGTACTTGGGGCTCAAGTACCAGCAAAAACCTCCACGGCCGCCATAGGTAAGGAGCTAAAACAAACGAGCATAACTTTGTCAAATCAAGTCAGATTTCGGTGGTTTTGGTGTCAATCGACTCAGCTCGACGAGCTCTTTCGAATGAGGTATAATTTGCATTTTCGAAATTTTCACCCCAAAAAAGTGCTTACTCCCCCCTATGGTTTTTCAATTTTTCGGGACCTATAACTCGGTCCAGAATTATTTCCTGAAATTGGGAATGGTACCGTTCGACTCGGCTCGCCGAGACGAATCGAATGACATATGTCTCGTCCCGAACTTTTACCTCCGGTGAACTACACTACAGCCATTTTTTAATTTTTTTTTTAATTTTTAATAAAATTTTAAATTTTAGAAAATCAGCAAAATCCAAAATTCTGTATCCTCCAATGAAGATTTCCAATTAACAAAAAATGTTAAAAACAATAATTTTATTAAAAATGACAATCAAATTGGTGACAATATTAAATATGAAGAAGAGTCGCAAACAAAATCTTCCCCTCGTTTTTTGCCGTTTGCCATTTCTCGTCAACAATTAACACCTTCATCTTCAACTACTTTAATTAGCAAAAGGTATTTTTTCCTATTTAAAATTTTTACCATAAATTGGGCTGAAGGGGAGTTTATGTGTTTGAATTTTCAAGAAAAGATTTTGCTCTAAAATTTCGAAATTTTAGTTTTTGACATTTGCTCTGTTGCAATCAGGTAAAAACACCTAAAAAAGAGTGTAAGACTCGTAAATGAAAATTTATTTATTTTTAAATAATTGTTTTGAAGGTTTTCCTGACGCGTCTTTCAAAGAGGTTGGGAAGGGTTTTTTCTTTGTTTTTATTCATGTTTCCTAATTTTACAAATAACTTTTTAAGACCAAAAATTATAAACCAGTTGCCCTTTTATTTGAGCTTTTTTCCTTTGTTAATTGACCAAAACCTTTATATGTCTAAAAATTTTTCTGAAAAATTTTTTTCAAAATTTTCAGATTTTTTGAGCAGGTAAATGTAAGTTTTGATCCTGGCTCTTGTTAATTAATTTTTAAGTTTTTAATGAATAATTAAATTTATTGACCATTTAAATTGGTCAAACAAAATTTTTTCTTATTTTTAAGCAATACAACAACTAAAAAGCAAAACGAAGAGAGTGTAAAGTCTGAAGAGGAATTGAAGAATGTTAAGGAATTTCCTTCTCAACGCCCTTCTCGACAACGTACAACTTCCGTCGAAACATCAATTTCGAATAGTCATAGTTCAAAATCTTCTCACCGCTCTTCTTCTCATTCTTCCTCTTCAGATTCTTCAACATCTTCCAATCGACGTTCTTCCACTTCAAATTCTTCTAGGAATTCATCAACTTCACGTCGTTCTGATTCGTCAACAGAATCGTCATCAAGATCTCATTCACGGCGCTCGTATAGAACAAGCAGGTATAGCCGTCGGAGAAGACGAAGTAGCAGCAGAAGTTCTAGCAGGTATAAATATATTTTTATTTTTTTGCTTTCTCCAGCCACCAAATTTCTCTCCGGGTCTGTTTATAACGTTAATTTTTTTAGTGAAAGATATTCGCGGAGACGTCGACGATCTTTTTCTACTAGAAGGTATCGATTAAAAAGGCGACGCTCTTATAGCAGGGATAGAAGTTATACAAGATCACTAGTCAAACGATCTAAAAGATATTCATCATCTTCGTCATCTTCTAGAAGCTCAAGTTCCTCATCTTCGTCTTCTAGGTTTTTTTATTTTTTCAAATAAAAATCTTTTTTAAAGTTCCTCCTCTTCACAAACTTCACATTCTGAGAAATCATCTGCCTCTTCGACACATAATTCCTCTACTACATCTATCGGTTCAAAAAAATTGGTTGGCACGAACAATTATCAAAAGGATGAGAGAAGTGAAGAAAAATCAAAAGATATGAAGAAGGAGACGAGAAATGATATAAAGGAAGATAAACTTGAAGAGAGGAAGGAAGAAATAGAGGAAGATAAATTGAGTAGCAAAAGTGGAGATTCCATGCCTTATTCTTCAGAAGACGAAGATGACCAACAGGAATTTGTAGAAGAGAAGGAAAATGAAAAGATTAAGGTAACGGATAAAAATCAGGAAGTAGAGAATGACGAAAACAAAAATGAAAAGAATAAAGGAAAATGGTTACCAATTGGTTTTGAGAATTTAAAAAATGAGAGTAATGATGATGATAAAAATGTGAAAGATGAGACGGATGAAAGTGAAATGTCTGATCATGAAGCAGAATTGGTGCGGAAAAATAAGCAAATTAGGTTATCCTGAACATTTTTTAAAGTTTTTTATAAAATAATTTTTAGAATTAAAGAACGTTGGGAGTTGCTAAAGTATCAAAAACAAGTAATCCCTCAGACATCAAATAATTTTGAATCTAATGAATGGAGTGAAGAAAGGGAAAGGGAATTTGTGTTTAGCTTACTTGAATAGAAAATGATATTTTATTTTGATATTTATATTTATCTATTATATCCATTCTCATCTTTTTTCAAACATTTGTGAAAGATGAGAGAATGTTCCTGAAATTTTTATATTAGGTAGAGATCAAACAGAATTTTGATTTTTGTATTCTTGTTAATTTCGATCTCTATTTAGTCTTTGGTTAAAGCCCTAGACTATCTGTCACTTTTGATCAGTTTTGGTTTGTAATTGGATATTACTATTAGTTTTATATTTAATTTTTTATTTTGATAAAATTATGGGTTTTTAAAAAAATTTTAGTTTTTATGTTAATTTCAATTTTTATTTTTTAAATTAAATAATTTTTTCATTTAATTAAGACAACAAAAAAAATAAAAATGGAAGGAGACTCAATTGATAGTTTAGCTACTTCGGCTGAGGAAATATTTTCTGATGGGGAGAGTAATGATGATGAATTGCCTACTTCTTCAAATAAAGTTTTGGATGAACGTAGAGTTGAGTTGTCAGATAGTTGTAGTCTTCAGGTTTTTTTGTTCAAGTTTTGTTAAATATTTTACCCTATTTTTCAGAGTTCTGGTGAAAATAACTTCCGCAGAGGCAGATTAAAAAAATTATTTCAGTATGATGCTCACAAGAATATACCACATGAAGAACTAAATAAAGGTTTTTTGTTTTTAAAATAGTTTCTCTATAAGCATTTTTGTTTTAAGCTTCAAAAGATGTTTTGGACCGAGCAGTTGAATATATGCAATTATTCTTGGTTCGTTATCAAGCAGAGCATGCTGGAGTTGATGTATGAATTTTATTTTTTTAACTCTAAACGAATTAAATTTTATTTTTAGTTACTTCGTCGTATGCTTTTGGCTGCTCGTCTTTATGGTGCTCCTCTCCAACGCCTTATTCAATTTGCCTTGTCAATACATTTGAAGTACATTCCGGATATCCCTAAATTTTGTTATAGGCCAATCAATATTAAAAATTTGTATTTTTTTTTAATTTTTAAAATTTTTTTTATTTTTTTCGTTCAGTTTTGATGAGATGAACGAATTGGAAAGACGTTTTGGACATTTTCTTTGGGATTTATTTTTTGTTTATTGTCGGCCTTACTTAAAAAGGTTTTATTTTTTTTGGGAATAATTTTTAAATAATTTTAAGGGAAGAAATAAGACTTCATCGAATATTTTTTCGTCGTCAACTAACTTCTCTTGTTATTAATTTACACAATGCTGCAATGAGGAAAGATTGGCCGACAGTTGCTGATCGTTTAGGTTTTCTCAAGGGCTTATCGGTCGCAAGTATTAAAAATTTACCAATTATTTCAGCTTCAATTCCTGCATTTCCTTCAAAACAACTTCCTTCAAGAAATCATTTTGAATTCTTTAATCACGCAATGGGCCCATATTTTCCTTCATTTTATTTACTTACTTTACAGACTTTACTTGAAAGTAAGCAACAAATAAAGAATTTGAGTTCACAATATGTTAAAGTATGTAGGTATTTTTTTAAACTTATTTCTCAAATTAGCAATCCAACTATGATAAATGTATGTGTAGTTAAGTGGAATAATGCTTAGGTTTCGGCGCTTAAAGCGGCTAGCTTTTAAATTAAATTAATTGTTAGTCGCGAGCATGGCTGCCGTATATTATATCTACACTAGTTAGTTCGATGCGTCATTGTAGTTGGCGTTATCAGGCAGGCCGGTGTTACACCCTTTAAATGAGATTTTAAGTTTTTTTGTATTTAATTTTATTATTTTTTTTTTATTATTTTAGGCCTTTAAAGCTTTTAATTCTACTTGTTCTGAGCGTCATATTTGGATGGATAACTCAATGTTTTACTATTCACAGCTTCTTATTTTTCATTTATGCAATTTTAAATTAGAGAAGACTGGACCAGTTTTGGCTGGCCAAAATGTCAAATTCCAAGGGGATTCTCAGGTATAAACAAGGGCGTAGCCAGGGGGTCTAGAATAATAAATAATTTAATCTAACAATAAGTTTGTAATTTTTCCTATGATACAAGCTTTTCGATCGTGAACCTTTAGAAATCTTAACCTTATTTTTAATTTTTTAGCATCGCCGTTTAATTCTTTTGCTCAATTATTGCATTGATTTTGAGAAACATTTTCTTTCATTAAAAAAGGAGCGGCTTGAACGAATAAACACAACAAAACTAGACATGGATGAGGACAATTCATTACAAATACGAGTATGGAAAATTTATAAAGGTTATTTAAAAATTATTTTATTTTTAGGATCGTTCTTTATTATCTGGATTTTCTGGCTTTCTTGATGTTTTGTTTGAAGAACCTACAACAATTGTTGGCCTTTTACCTTTAGCAGTATTTTGTGCAATACAATTCGACTGTTTAGAGGTAAATTAATTTTTGAATTTAAATATATTTTTGAATTTAAGGATTTAACTGAAAAATTATCTGAAGAGTATATTCGTTATCCTTTTTTATTAATCCACGTTCACAATGTTTTTGCTCATTTTAAACTTTATCATGTTGTCGGACAAATGCTTGACCGGGTTAGTTTAGTTTTTACTTATTGATTGATTTCTCGATAGTTGTTTGAATTGTCTCTTGAAACTTTATCTGCTGAACCTTTCATGTTAGATTTAGTCGAGCAACGTTCACTTCAACCTTCAAATTTTGGTCAATTTGATAATGTTGTTAGTGGAAATTTACGTTTTCTTTTTATGGTATATTTTTCAATGTATATGGGGTTTTTAGACGCTTAATTATTATTATTTCCTCTTTCTCAAACATGTACTAGGATGGTTCATTGGTTTACCTCCATGTCCTAGGAAGCCGATGAAGATTAAATAAATTAATAAAAATGAAAAAAAATAATTTTAACCAAAAATAATCTTTTCTGAGTTTAAACGATTAACTCAAAGAAAAGTAATTTATTTAAAATTTTGGATAAATAACAATGCCCCCATTTAGGGTTCACGGTTTCTAAGAGATTGGCCGTGATCCAAAGGCAAGGGTCAACATTTAAATTAATTAAATGATTTTAAAAGGCGAATCTGAGGCTTCTTTTTTTCATTAATAATTATTAATTAAATTTTTGGGTTTGAAAATTTTACTTTTTTTAGTTTCTAGATTATGGCCGCAATAGAGATAACTCTCGAGCTTGGGCACTTCTCTTTTCCAATTTGTGTTATATTGAAAATAATTTCGAATTAGTCACTGCTTTGGTTTTGCCTTATTGGGACAAAAGAAAAAAGTAATTTTGATTTTTAGAACTAAAAATATTATTTTTTATTTTGGTTGGTGGCCTCAATTTCATAATCCCAATTGTTTACCACGAGATGCGGTTAAATTAAGGCGTCGAATTTTTAGAATATTAAATGAATTAGAAAGTGGTAATAATTGTGATAAAGAGAAAAATGCCGAAAAAGCCTTATTATATATTTTTTAATGATCTTCATTTTTATTTGTGATATACTTTATTTATAAAATGTCTTATTTTATTTTCCAATTTTATTGTTAAACATTTCAAGATTAAATTTTCATATTTAAAATTTTATTTCTTTTAAATTCTTTTTTGTATTATTAAATATTTAAAAAAAAGTTTAAGAAAATGCTTGTTCAACAAAAGAATCCAAATTTGGTCGAGTTTGTGCTAATTGAATATCCTGGCGTTATTCAAAATGTTGATGCAGCTGTACAAACTCTTGGAGGATTGAGGACTATTTCTGCGGTAAAAAATTGGAATTTAATAATGAATGTGGAATTGTAAATATTTTTGAACTGCTCTATTCTACTAAATTTAGATCCATACCAGGGGTGGACGCTAAGGGCAATTGTAAAGGCATATAGTTCGATAAGCCAGATTTCTATTTTTGCCTACAGATTAGGCAAATAACGCCCCTGATCCAAACTTAATTTTCGCCTTTTCTAGTTCCTAAAAATTTCAGGCGCATTTTGCCTCAAATCCAATTGAATTACAATTTCGTCCAGACAATTTATTCCATTCTTCATTAATTGCCAAACGTCGTAATCAAGGTGTTGTATTCTCTGGGCATTTAAATTTAGTTATACGTGTAAGAAAACGAAAACAAGAACAAACAGAAAGAAAGGGAGGAGGGGGGTTATCTACTATTAATCAACAAGAAAAGCAGCCTTTAATTGAAGTTAAATGTTTGGGAATGGTTTCTACAGTTTATTCTTTTCGAGCAATTTGTGATTTTCAATATTTACCTCTAAGCAATTTTAATTTAAATGAAAGTGTTGATGAAGCACATATTCGCCATGATTTGGTTCCTATACTTGTTCCAAACGATTTTCTTTCTTCTTTATCTTGGTGGAATGAGGATCATTCTGGATGTAAAATAAATATTATAAATAATTAAATATTTAATCTTTCCGGTTTTCGTTTCGAAATTCCATTAGTCTTACGGAAAATTTAAATATTTTACCGAATATACAACCGAATATTAACACGCTCCTCTTAAAAATTCAAAACTTTTAATTTAATTTTTTTTCAATTTTTAGCTTCCCAAGCTTCAACTTCTTTAACCTCCAAATTATTTAATGAAGCACATCAGTTTTTACCTCCATATCAATTTAGTCGTTACAATCATCCTTCAAAGTTTTTGTTACATGACGAAGTTGACCACAAAGCGACGCGAGGAAATGTTGGGCATGGAAAAAGTGAATTTTTAAATATTTTTGTGGGGAATTTAGAGAAAAAATAATTAATTTAAAATTTTATTTCCAAAAAGGTCTTCGTTGTGAACGTAAATCCCTAACAACTACCGTTAATGCAAAGGATCCGTTTCCGGTTGCGCCAAGTGAGGAGGCTCTACGGGACGTTGACTTGAGGCAAATTAATTATTTTTAAACTTTTGTCAAAAAATATTTAGATGTAAAAATCCCGATCAACACCGTATGATGATTGAATTATTTGCTGAACGTCCGTTATGGTCTCGCGTGGCTATTTGCTTTCGTTTAAGGCTTCACACAGCCCTTTTAAAGTAAAAGAAGCTTAATTTTATAAATATCCTTTGAAATTTTTAGAGTAATTTTGGCCAAATATGCATTTTATATTCAAAGTGGGCCTTGGTAAATATTTAAAAATACAGAAGAAATGATTTTAATTAAAGGGGCCGTCTTTGGTGTCGTTTTGGGTATGATCCCAGACTTGATAAAGAAGGGAGAAAATACCAATCATTAATGGTCTCGTTTAAAAGAAATCAAGTAAAGAAATGAAAATATCGTTGAAAAAATATTATTTTTATTTAAAAGTTTATTCCTGAACGTCAACGACTTAAAGCTAATACAACAGCAGCAGGTACTCCATATGGAGAATTTTGTGATTATATTTACAGACCTGGTAATTGAGAGATTATTTTAGAGTATTCTCTTTTTTAGGTGTTTTGCCTGAATTACGCCAAATGTGGTACAGCATTTTGGACATTCAATTACCTATAGCACAAAAAATATGTAGAAACGATTATTTTGAATTTTTGAGAGAATGTGATCCAATTACTGGGTGGTTGCCTGCTGTGAGGAATTATTATTAAATTTTTTTAATTAAAAAAATAATAATTTCTAGGCCCAACTTAACGCCATTCGTGCTGCTTTAAAAGCTGACGTAAACCTAACTTCTACTCGTTTAGGGAATTCAGCAATTGTTGGAGGGGGTGGAGGTGGAAATGAGGAAGAAGAGGATGAAATAGTTGAAGAGGATTTGGAATTTAGTGATGATGAAGATATAAACAATTTTTAGAAATTAATTTTGTTTTCAGTTTAAATTGATAAATTTTAAAATATTCTTTTAATATTTAAATAATTATTTAAATAGTATTCTAGACTGGATTTTACATTTATAAAAATAAAATAGGTATGTAACAGGGATGTGCCAGTTTTGCATTCTCGTCTTTCGCGTTTTAAAATCTGTTTCGGCACATCCCTGGTATGTAATTCTAGTCCAGAGAAATAAACATATGTACTATATTTTTATAAATAGACTAAAAGATATATTTTGAGAAGGCACTAAATAGTGATATAAATTACAAAGTGATAATAGATTGGAATAATAAAAATAAATGTATTTAAGGAGTCACAAAATATATTACATATGAGCATAATTCGAACCTATAAGGCTTAAAAAATAATTAAATTAAAGTGTTCTCTATAAAATGTCAAAATATTCAAAAACAACAATCTTTTTTGGATTTTCATTAAGCATGTGCCCATCCTTTAGAACGCCTAACTGCCTCTAGCCATTGTTCATATTCACGGCTACGTTCATTCTCCTCCGATGCTGGTTCGTATGTGTCCATTGAGTGTGGGCGACGTTGGCGAAAAATTTCTCCCAAACTTTGATAACTTTAAATTTAATTTTTTAAAATTCCCCTCCCTCCAACAAACTCACTCAACAACTCCAATTCCAATCCCACAAGCCAGCGCTGCTCCCCAACCAGAAATTTCTGACATTTTTGAACATTCCATTGGAATACCCATTGAATTTGCTTGTAATTTATTAAATAATTTGTTTTGTGTCATTCCACCATCTGCCTAAAATTAAAAAATTTTTTTTTAATTTAATTTAAAATAATTTACTCTCAACGAAGCAATTTTTATATCAACCATATCCTTCTGTATAGCATCTAACATTTCCACAGTTTGGAAGGCAACAGCTTTTAAAGCAGCCAAGGCAATATGTGCTCGAGTAGCTGATTGGGTTAATCCACAAATAATTCCTCGTGCTGTTGGATCCCACTGAGGGGTGTACAAACCGGCAAAGCAAGGGACTAAATAAAGGGGAATTTTATTTAATATCTCTTTCTCCCCTTACCAAAATAAACATCCTCTGTATTTTCCACACTAGCAGCTAATTGCTCAATGTCTTCCGTTTTTTCAAAAAACTTCAGATTATCGCGTAGAAAGCGTACAACATTGCCCCCAATTGATCCAGACCCTTCGAGAGCATAATAGGCGGGGGAATCTGATCCGAACTGAAAAAACAATTCTTTAAAAAATATTTTTCCTCAAATTTACTTGATAGGCAATCGTCGTTAACAGTCCATAACCCGAAACTAAAGCTTTCTTTCCAGTATTACAAAGCATAAAAGTTCCTGTCCCATAAGTATTTTTTGCTTCCCCTGCTTGGAGACAGCCATGACCGAGTAAAGAACCTTCAAAAATATTTTTTAGAAAAAAATTTAGGCTAAATAATTACTTTGTTGGTCACCCAAACAGCCAGCTAGAGGAGTGCCTTTTAATGGTCCTTAAAATATTTAAATTAAAAAATCTCTTTTATTTCCTAACCATCTCTCATATAGCCATATACTTCAGCAGAACTTCTTATTCGAGGCAATATTTCTATTGGAATATCAAAAAATTCACACATTTCGGGTGACCATTGACGGTCTTGTAAATCCATTAATAAAGTTCTACTAGCATTTGTAACGTCTGTTATGTACTCCTACAAAATATTTTTATGAAATTGGAAGGGGTTAAGGAAATACCGTATTACTCCTAATTGAATGTTAAAAAATTTTATTTCTCAATCACCCTCCAAACGGGCAAGAAAATCACCCCCCCCCCCCAATCACCCTCTCCAATTATCAGAGGTAATACGGTATTTTTATTTTTTTTTAATTAAAAAATTAATTTTAAATATTCAAAACATTCTTTGTTTTTTAATCAAAAATTCTTATTTTTTACCCCCAAAAGATTCCAAATAAGCCAAGTATCCACCGTCCCAACCATTAAAGTACCTAAATTTATTTAAAAATTAAAAATAAATTTTTAATAAAAAATACTTGCCTGCAGAAAGGGATTTTTGTGCAGCTGGGACGTTATCCAGAAGCCAACGTAATTTCAAAGCAGTAAAGTAGGGATGGATAGGTAAACCAGTTTTTGGTTTGAAATGATTTTGGCACCTAAAATTAAGTTTAGATTGGGGACAATAAAAAGAAAGTTTTTCTATTTAATTTTAATTAATTCTTTATTTTAAAACAAATTTTAATTAAAATTAAATAGAGTGGACAAGCGTTTTTGTGTGTGTAAAACCATAATTAATATATAAATATAAATAACTGTTCGATGTATTTATTGATATAATTTTTTTTTAATTTTTTAAATTTAATTTAAATTAGTTTTAAATTTACAATAAATTTTAGTTTTCTTTGAAATTTATTTTTTGAGGATGGGCGATACACTAACCACATATCTTCGACCTTATAGCTACTTTACGATATTATAATACTATAAAGGCTATTAAAGATATGTTAAAACAAAAATTAAAAATAATTTCTTTAGAATATTATCATTTAAATACATCCGAACAATTAAATAAAAATATATATTAAAAAATGGTTAAACACTCACGAAATAACGCTGTCCCTTTCGTACATTTTGAGGTCGAATTTTCTTAAAAAATAATTTTTAATTAAATAGAAAAATTTTCTTTCAAAAAAAACTCACGATCTTTTGGCAGCCGAAGGAGTACCATTCAAAGATTCGTCAACTTTTAAGATATATTTTTTGGCTAGATCGTGGGTTCTACTATCCAACCAAACAATGGCATTATATAAAGGTTCTCCGGTATTTCTATCCCAAATAATTGTTGTCTCTAAAAAGAATTTTTTTGTTTGTTTTTTAATTATTCTCTTTCGAAAAATAAATTTTTGGAACTACATATTCCATTTAATTCTATCAGTAGAGTAATTAACTTGAATAATATATTTTTTCCAAAAACAAGTTAATTCAAAAACGAAAATTCCTGACAATACTTAGTTACATTCATTTCTCTTATTTTTTTAAATTTTATTATTACTTGGAATTCTTGTGGTTGTTAATTTTGGATTCCTTGATGTTACGGGGAATGAGGGGAACTGAATAACATATAGGTACATAGATCATAAATTATGAATATACATATATTCACGGATATATACCTCCATATACTTTCTCATTTTTAAACACCCCCCCCCTACAAAAAATCACCTCTTTGATTTGTAATGCCAACAGCACGGATATTCTCAGGTTCAATTCCACGCTTTGTTTTTAACTGTTCACAGGCGCCGGCAATACAAGCCAGAGTTGTTTCAAAAATCTCTTTCGGGCACATTTCTACATAGCCAGATTCTGGGAATTGTTGACGGACTTCAATCTATTTTTTGAAATTTTAGAAAAATCGTTTTAAACTTTCTCGGACCTGATGACTCGCCAATAATTGTCCAGTATCTGATTCGAAAATAAGGAAGCGGCTACTGGATGTTCCTTGATCTATTGCGCCAAGAAGGACCATTTTAATTAGTTTAATTAATTAATTAATTAAGGGATTTTAAATTATTATTTTTAAAAATGTCTGAAATTATACAGAAATAATTAGAAAAAAATTAGAAAAAAATATGAGAGTTTGATTAAAATTAAGGGCAAAATAAATAAAATACACTAGAGAACTACCTAATATTTTTTATGTCAATTCAAAAAATATTTTGGTAAAATTTTTAAAAATTAATTAATTAATTCGCCAAATCAACAATTAAAAATAATTTAAAAAAATTTAATTCCTACTTTACTAATCATATTAATAAAATAAAAATAAAAAAATAAAAGTTTACTAAGCCAAGAAAATTAGGCGAATCAATTTAATTTAAACTAATTTTTACGCGCATTTAAAGAGAAAAATAAATTAATTGGCAAACAAAAAATTAAAAAAAAATAAAAAATAAAAATATTTGGGTAAAAGGAGAAGGTTTTACATAAAAATAATGTGAATTGAATTTTTTGAGGGAAATTAAAAAAAATTTTTTTTAATATTTGAGTGATTAAAAAAATTATATAAAAGTACAGGTTTTATCATAATTTTTATTTATTATTGAAAATTTAAAAAAAATTCTGATTTAATAAAGATTAATAAGTGGTAATTAATCAGAATTTAAATGAAATTCTGATATAATTTTTTTCTGAGAAATTCTAATACAATTTCTGATTTTATTGAATACAAAAATTCTGTTTTTATTTATAAAAATATATAAAAGAATTCTGATTATTTTAAAATATTCTGAAAAAATAATTCTGATTTATTAAATATAGAATTAAATATTATTATATTCTGATCTTTGTAACTGGGTTAGGATAGACATTTATTTGTGTGTGTGAATGAAAATAATTTTTCTGATAATATGCTACGTATAAATTAAATATTTTTGTGTTATTAGGGGGTCGCAGTCATCAACAAAGGAGGAAGAACAAGGTACACAAAAATAAATAAATAATTATTTTTTCTTTTTCTCTCTTTTTTTGTCTCATGCTTTGCTTTATTTCTTAATTAATTTATATCATTTATTCCAAAATCCAGTTCCACTTTTGATTATTATTTGTCCGCAATTTTTAAATAATTTAATTTTTTTAAAACTTATCCAAAATTTCAATTAAAAATATTTTTAAAAATTTCTAGATTTTTAAAATAAAATTTACAAAAAAACTTTAACCCACTCCTGTTAGTCAACAAAATTTTTTTTAATTTTTTGTCCGCATTAGTGGAAATTCTGATAATTTAAGAAAATAAATATTCATAAAAATTAATATACTATAATTTTCTATCATTTTATTTATCTCCTTAAATACCCCCTCCCAAATTCATTGCTCCATTTTCTAACTTGAGGAGAATCAACAAACAAATCGCCCGCCCGTCACAACAAAAATAATTATGACTATTTTATTACCCTCCGGGTTGGGTAGCAATACATAGATGACTTTTCTCTTTCCAAATTTTTAATATCAGAGAAATGCTTCCAAAGAACAAAGATAAAGATGATGTAAATTAATTAATTAATTAATCTAAATATCTCCCCCAAAATTCTTTTTTTACTTCCTTTTTCTTTTAAATATTTTTGGGTACATTAACAATCAGACAATTTATTGTATTTTTCGTTAATTTAATTTATAATTTAATAAAACTTGGAAATTATGTTTGAATAAGATAAATATTTACTAAATAATTTATAACTAAGATTGTTTTGTAAACCCGAAAATTTTGATATTTCTTGCAAAAAATGAGTTTTTATGAAATTTTAATTTATGGTATTTTTTGTGAATGATATCTTATTAACATTTACTTAAGTGCTTTTTAAATTCCAAAAGAAATTTTAAAAATAATTATTTTTATTTAAAAAGTAATTATTTAAAAATATTTTCCATTTAACATAAAGTTTTATTTAAATATTAGTAGTACATATTTACTAAAAATTTTCTTATCTTCTACTTAAAATATTATTTTTGGGTTCCACATAATTATATGTATATATTTCCTTCCACACAGTTTATGTACCCAACGTCCGCATAGTGTACCCAAAAACTGGGTTTTTATCTGAAGAAAATGTCCGAATATTTATTTGCTTTGTTTGTGTGCACACAGGAATTTGTTTCCGATGGCGATAATTTCGGCGAGTGCAAAAGGTGATTGAGTACTTAGACAATTTTTGTTGAATGAACAATTTTTGGTTAAAAAATATATTTAATGAGTTTGTATATATGTATAATGCTTAATATTTTGTGTACACAAAACGGAAATAATTACATATTTTGAACAAGAAATGTCTAGAGCTATTTAGTATTAAAACTTTTTCAAAAAATAGTTTCAAATCTCTATGCAGGAATATTTTTTATTTAAATTTAAAAATATATGTATAATTTGTGTATTTATTAATCCCGTTTTGTATTTAATTAATTATTTACATATGTATATATTTAGTGGGCACAGAAAGAAATAAAAAGTAATGTTTTGATAAAAACTTTGGTAGTTCTTTAAAATTATTTTGGGAATTAAGTGATTTTGTTCCTAAATTTAATGAACAAAAAGAATATTTTTTCTAAAATTTATATACGTATTAAGAAAAAAAAGTCAAGTCAAATTATTATGGGTTTTAGTCAATGATGAACTTTAATCAAGGGTGTTTAATTAAGAATACTTATTAATCAAGGATAGGATTTGTTCACTTTTTAACTACTACGTTCCATTTGATATTTATTCTGTAAATTATTCTTTATAATTTCATTCCAAATTTCAATCCTTTGCCATATTTTTAAATTCCGGAGCTTTTAACATTTTTTAAAAATATTAAAGGGGTTTAAAATTTATTTTTCTTTTCCTCGAAAAGTTCATTTAATAATTAAAATCATCATTTCCTTTCGAAGTCCTTTTATTTTATTTTTAAATGTCATCAATTTTTTCCCCCATTTTTCAAGTGTCAATTTCAGCTTTATATTATTTCTACAAAAATAAAAAAAAACCTTTACTGCAAATTTATTTAGTAAAAAGTCTGCTAAATATATTTTTTGAGTGTGTCGAGTATTGCGTGGGAAGAAGTGGAAAAATAAAATTAATCAAAACGACAAATAAATAAATAAATTTTTTTATTAAAATCTCAACATAAACGCCCACAATATGGGTAAGTAATGCATTATATAGAGAATAAATAGTAAGACTTTTTGGCATTTTTTAAATGTGAGAAACATCGAAATAAAGCTTGGCACTAATCAGTTAAAATTTTATTTTTGGTTTATTCTAATTCAAATTTAATTTAAATATATTAAGGGGAGCAGGCCCAATTTCTCTTTTTTAAGTTAAGATCTCCAATCAAAATTATAGTAAAGCAGCTGGGCTATACATAGCTATTTCTCTCCTTTAGCTAGTGCAAAAGGTTATTCGGCGGTTGGGAGCGAACCAGCATTTTTATTAGACCGGACTGATGTGTTAGCCACACCACGCCGCCTACTGCACAGTCCTAGGATGCTTTACATTATTTAAAAAATTTAATTAAAAAACATCCCTTATTATATCCTTAATAATAATACAGTTTTTATACCCAATTTTTTATTCCAAAATATCATTACGATTATTTAAATAAAATATAAAATGTCTGAAGAAAGCCAACAAAACAACAAAAACAATAATGTTCTAATAAATTCACCACAACAAAACGGAAATTTAAAAACAGAAAAATATCAAAAATATCCTGAAAGAAATCTTTTTAATCATATTCCTTTAAATTCTGCACTTTTAGAAAATATGAATAGGGGTGGTTATTTATGAATTTATTGAAAAGAATACCTCTATATCCATCTTGAACTCCCGACCAGTTAATACACTTGATATGAGAAAATTCCCTAGATATCCTTCAAAAACACTGATATACCCCTTAATCTTTTCAAACCTCGTAATCTCACTAATCCGCATATATCTGCCGATATTATTCAATGTCACTGCGCAATTGATGTACCTAATCGCTGTGTCTAGGGATTTATCAGCATTAATCACCGATATCCTCCACATCTCTTTTTCTTCGAATATCCCTACGAATCCTAGGGTATCCATATTAGGCGGGATAACAAATAGATTTTCGTCCTGAACGCTCGGGAATGAGTGCGTCCCGAACACTCAACCTTCATTTTTCTCTCAAATTCCTTTATCAAACCATACTACTTGATCAATCTAGAACACATTTTATCACCCGATATAATCCCTTTATATCCCCAAAATCCACTTTTACCCCACCAACTAATCAATTATATCCCTTTAATTGCCGACAAATTTTAGGTTAAAATTTCGGTACGTTTTCGGTCAACAGATGCTGTTCGGTTTCGGTTATCGAAGAATCAAGTGAAACTGACAACCCTAATCAGAATAAATAAAATAATTCAATAAGTAAATTTCAATAGAATAATTCAATGTTTCTTTTATAATTTTTTTCAAATATAGGGGAAAAATATTTTAGGGGGGAGTACTATTTTAGGGGGAGTACTATTTAAGGGGGGAGTACTATTTTTCAACCCTCCTCCAAAGGGGAGTATTATTTAAGGGGGGAGTACTAATTCAGGGGGGAGTATTATTTTAGGAAATACGGTATATTAAGGGGAGCAGGCCCAATTTCTCTTTTTTAATAATAATAATAATTTATTCACTAAAATGGGCGTAGCAAGTACGTCACTTAAATTTAGTACAATAAAAAAGAATGTCAAAGCATAAAAAACAATGTCAATTAAAAAAATTAATGTGAAAATTATATATGGGAAAGCGAAAACATCATGGAGGAATTTCATATTTGTATATCATAAGTTAAAATATAAATGAATCATTAGAATTTCCTCCAATGGAATATTGACGTTTGCTTGTCATAGTAAGAAATGTCAAAAATACTATTACCCAAAGTCGAAAATTAAAAATGCCTTAAAAAGTAAAAATTGTAAAATTAAAAATAAATAATAAATTACATAGAACTTATATAAAATGGAGTATAGAAAAATATTTTGATTTATAAGCAAAATTATGAGGGACGGAAGAGTCTCAAAAAAATCATTAAATTTAAATTAATAGCACTAAAACTGGCCAATAAAGTCATTAAGGAGGTCCTGATTTTGTATTAAATAAGTTCTTAGGTTTATCCAGAATGATTTAGGATTTGGAGAATTAATAATCTGTATAGGGAGAACGTTCCATAAATTTATAGTTCTATTTATAATCCAATGTTCAGTCTTTGATATCTTTTTAGGAACTCGTAATTGTAAATTATGTTTATTTCTTATAGGACGCGTGGAAAACTCGACAAAACAAGTTGGATCAAGATGGGTAAAATTTTTTGTTAACCTGAAGATTGTTGAGAGGTCAAATAGAGTACGTCTGAGGACTAAAGATTCTAGATTCAGAAATTTTAATCTATTTGCATAACTCATTTTAGGAATTTTGCATTTAACTAAAGTAATCTTTGTAAACCACTTTTGAATTTGTTCTATTTTTAGAATGAATTTTTTTGTTTTAGGACTCCATATAATGGAGGCGTATTCCAGAATAGGCCTGACGTATGATTTAAAGGCTAAGGAAAAAATCTTAGGATTTGATGAATTAATGTTATTTAGTACAAGAATAGAACGATGATAAGCCTTTTTGATGATTTTAGATAGATGTATTTCAAATGAGAGTTTATCTGTAAAAGTGATTCCTAAGTCCGTAACGGAAGATACAGTTTCTAAAATGGTGTCAAAAAGGATGTAGCGTTTTCTAGGGTTATTTTTACCTATATGAAAAGTACATGTTTTATTTAATGAGATATCCAATGCCCAATCAATGCTCCATTCTTCAATTTTAGTAAGTGATTCTTGGAGACAGGCATTATCGTTACTAGGTGAAAATTCACAAAATATTTTTAGGTCGTCAGCAAAAAGCATGACTTTCGAGGGGGAAGGTATTTGGTAAATAAGATCATTTATATAGATTAAAAACAAAATTGGGCCAATTATCGTTCCTTGCGGTATACCCGACATAATAGGAATGGGATCAGAGTAGTTGTCATTTATCTTTACAAAAGCTGTTCTGTTAGAGAGAAAATTTGAGATCCAATTAAGAAGTTTTCCATTAATGCCTATATTAGAGAGCTTGTAAATGAGGTATCGTATAGGAACACTATCGAAAGCTTTTTTGAAATCTATAAAGATGCAGTCAATACATTTATTATTTAAAAGAGCTTTGTACCATGCATCGAAAGAAGATAAAAGCTGAGTAACAGTCGAGCGTTTTTTTAAAAAGCCAAACTGTTGGTCGCTAATAATTTTATTTGTTTCTAGATGTGCTAAAATATGTTGTAAAATTAATTTCTCAAAGACTCTACATATGCACGATGTAATAGCAATTGGACGATAATTTGAAACATCAGATGCTGAACCCTTTTTAAAAATTGGGGTAATAAAGGATATTTTCCAAAGTTCTGGTAAAATACCAGTATCTAATGAATCCCTAAAAATATCTGCTAGAAATGGTGCTATAGAATCTGTGCAATTTTTTAAAAGTTTATAACTAATTCCGTCTGCTGATACACCTTCTTTTGGAGGAAGAGATTTTAATATATTAACAATATCTATAAGTGTAAAATCTATATCGTCAAGCTGAGATGAATAATTTGACAGAGGTAGAATAGGATGATTTTGAATTGGTACATTTGAGAATGATGGAGCAAAAGCTCTGGCAAATAAATCACATTTAGCTTTATCCTCAAAAAGATATAATCCATTATGCACTAAATAAGGAATTGGAGAGTGACCTTTTGTAAATCTTTTCATAAATTTGTGGATTCCTTGGGAGCTTGAGACTAGTTTTTTAATTCTAGTTGAGTTATATCTATTAATGATATGTTTAACAGTTTTACAGAAATTTAAGTACTGAGATGGATGTATCTTATTATTTTTGAGATCTTTGAATATTTTATTTTTTGAGGTAAGTAGACGCTTAATGTATTTAGGATAAGTTGTTACTTTAGGCTTAATAGTGAGTGATCGCATAGGAATATAGAGGTTACTTAATTCTAAAATGAAGTATACAAAGAAACTATACTTATCTGATATAAAAAATATATCGTAGAGATTATTGAATTCCTTAGCAATGTGAGCATTTAAAAGGTTGATATTTTTATAATCTCTAAAGGTTTTTATAGAGGGTGTGGGACGTTGTATATTTAACAAAAATTTTATCGAGTAATGATCTGAATTTGAGAGTCCTGTAGATGAAGATGGAGATGTAATACAGCTAGAATTGTTAGTCAGCAAAAGATCTAAAATAGAACCCTTATAATGGGTAGAATCGAGAATGAGATTTGAATACTGAAAGTTTAATGTAAATTCTAGAAATTCTTTGCCAATACTATTATTAGCTGTAAGATCATGCCAGTTTATATAAGTTTTATTAAAGTTAAAGTCCCCGATAATGACTACATTATCTTCAGAAATTTTTTGAAGAACTTTAATAAGGGACTGTGTTGATTGATTAGAAATGGAAGGTGGTCTATAAACTAGTACTAACCTAATATAATATTTAAAACGATTTGTGGAGACGTCAATAGCGATTGTATCGATGCCAGCAATTTTTTTACGTGTGATGTGTCGGAATGATATTCCGTTTTTGATTAGCATAGCTACACCACCGCCTCTACTTTTATAAGATTGATTTCTATTTTCTAAAATTATTTGAAAGAGTGAAGCTGATTTTAGATATAGAAGAGGATTTTCGCTAGAATTTATCCATGTTTCAGTCAAGAATAAAATATCAGGATTTTGTTGGGCGATTTCAAGGTCCAATTCGTGAATTTTATTTTTAATTGATTGGCAATTATAATATAAACAGGATAAGGAACTTTTTTGGTTTGTTTTAGTGCTGGTTATATTTTGTGTTTTTATGAGACTCTTTGGGGGTTGTGTGGATCGATAGTTAAGTACGTTCAGAAGTAAATTCTGTGATGTATTTAGTGGTTTTTTGATAAAGTTTTTTTAAAAATATGTACTTCTGAACGCAATATAATCTGACCTGCATAGATTATAAAGTCAAAACCTGTATCTTTTCTTTTAATTTTGCATCTTTCAATCAAAGAAGCCCTTTCTTCCAGTTCCTCCTTTGTAAGACTTCTTCTTATAATAACATTTTTGAATTTCCCACCAGCAAGTTTTTTTTTGTTTTTAATGGCTTCAGTTGCTGCAGCAGAGCAGGGCATGATGACTTTGAGGGGCCGTGGTTTTGAATTAGGTGGCCGCTGTCTTCCCATTCTGAAAATAGAGGTGGGGAGACAGCGGTCGATTTCCAGTTCATTAAATATTTCCAAAACGTTGTTTTTGTCTGAAGTGGCCCTGTCGATCGGACGTTCTTCATTACTTTCAGCAAGACCAGTAATAACTAAAAGATGATTTTGTTGTTCCATGGAAGGTGCAGTTGGTTCAGTTTTTTCACAAATAAGCTCAGAAGCAATTTTTAATAAACCAGACAATTGTTTAATAATTAATTGCTGTTGTTCAAGTAATGATTTGGCAAATTCAGGAATATTTGGGTCGGATGGAATGGTAGTAAGATTTTCAAAATTCAATGATGAAATAGAATTAAGTAATTGTTGTTTTTTAGTAAGAGGCGAATTTGTGGAAGAGTCCTCCATATAATTAGAATTTCCTCCAATGGAATATTGACGTTTGCTTGTCATAGTAAGAAATGTCAAAAATACTATTACCCAAAGTCGAAAATTAAAAATGCCTTAAAAAGTAAAAATTGTAAAATTAAAAATAAATAATAAATTACATAGAACTTATATAAAATGGAGTATAGAAAAATATTTTGATTTATAAGCAAAATTATGAGGGACGGAAGAGTCTCAAAAAAATCATTAAATTTAAATTAATAGCACTAAAACTGGCCAATAAAGTCATTAAGGAGGTCCTGATTTTGTATTAAATAAGTTCTTAGGTTTATCCAGAATGATTTAGGATTTGGAGAATTAATAATCTGTATAGGGAGAACGTTCCATAAATTTATAGTTCTATTTATAATCCAATGTTCAGTCTTTGATATCTTTTTAGGAACTCGTAATTGTAAATTATGTTTATTTCTTATAGGACGCGTGGAAAACTCGACAAAACAAGTTGGATCAAGATGGGTAAAATTTTTTGTTAACCTGAAGATTGTTGAGAGGTCAAATAGAGTACGTCTGAGGACTAAAGATTCTAGATTCAGAAATTTTAATCTATTTGCATAACTCATTTTAGGAATTTTGCATTTAACTAAAGTAATCTTTGTAAACCACTTTTGAATTTGTTCTATTTTTAGAATGAATTTTTTTGTTTTAGGACTCCATATAATGGAGGCGTATTCCAGAATAGGCCTGACGTATGATTTAAAGGCTAAGGAAAAAATCTTAGGATTTGATGAATTAATGTTATTTAGTACAAGAATAGAACGATGATAAGCCTTTTTGATGATTTTAGATAGATGTATTTCAAATGAGAGTTTATCTGTAAAAGTGATTCCTAAGTCCGTAACGGAAGATACAGTTTCTAAAATGGTGTCAAAAAGGATGTAGCGTTTTCTAGGGTTATTTTTACCTATATGAAAAGTACATGTTTTATTTAATGAGATATCCAATGCCCAATCAATGCTCCATTCTTCAATTTTAGTAAGTGATTCTTGGAGACAGGCATTATCGTTACTAGGTGAAAATTCACAAAATATTTTTAGGTCGTCAGCAAAAAGCATGACTTTCGAGGGGGAAGGTATTTGGTAAATAAGATCATTTATATAGATTAAAAACAAAATTGGGCCAATTATCGTTCCTTGCGGTATACCCGACATAATAGGAATGGGATCAGAGTAGTTGTCATTTATCTTTACAAAAGCTGTTCTGTTAGAGAGAAAATTTGAGATCCAATTAAGAAGTTTTCCATTAATGCCTATATTAGAGAGCTTGTAAATGAGGTATCGTATAGGAACACTATCGAAAGCTTTTTTGAAATCTATAAAGATGCAGTCAATACATTTATTATTTAAAAGAGCTTTGTACCATGCATCGAAAGAAGATAAAAGCTGAGTAACAGTCGAGCGTTTTTTTAAAAAGCCAAACTGTTGGTCGCTAATAATTTTATTTGTTTCTAGATGTGCTAAAATATGTTGTAAAATTAATTTCTCAAAGACTCTACATATGCACGATGTAATAGCAATTGGACGATAATTTGAAACATCAGATGCTGAACCCTTTTTAAAAATTGGGGTAATAAAGGATATTTTCCAAAGTTCTGGTAAAATACCAGTATCTAATGAATCCCTAAAAATATCTGCTAGAAATGGTGCTATAGAATCTGTGCAATTTTTTAAAAGTTTATAACTAATTCCGTCTGCTGATACACCTTCTTTTGGAGGAAGAGATTTTAATATATTAACAATATCTATAAGTGTAAAATCTATATCGTCAAGCTGAGATGAATAATTTGACAGAGGTAGAATAGGATGATTTTGAATTGGTACATTTGAGAATGATGGAGCAAAAGCTCTGGCAAATAAATCACATTTAGCTTTATCCTCAAAAAGATATAATCCATTATGCACTAAATAAGGAATTGGAGAGTGACCTTTTGTAAATCTTTTCATAAATTTGTGGATTCCTTGGGAGCTTGAGACTAGTTTTTTAATTCTAGTTGAGTTATATCTATTAATGATATGTTTAACAGTTTTACAGAAATTTAAGTACTGAGATGGATGTATCTTATTATTTTTGAGATCTTTGAATATTTTATTTTTTGAGGTAAGTAGACGCTTAATGTATTTAGGATAAGTTGTTACTTTAGGCTTAATAGTGAGTGATCGCATAGGAATATAGAGGTTACTTAATTCTAAAATGAAGTATACAAAGAAACTATACTTATCTGATATAAAAAATATATCGTAGAGATTATTGAATTCCTTAGCAATGTGAGCATTTAAAAGGTTGATATTTTTATAATCTCTAAAGGTTTTTATAGAGGGTGTGGGACGTTGTATATTTAACAAAAATTTTATCGAGTAATGATCTGAATTTGAGAGTCCTGTAGATGAAGATGGAGATGTAATACAGCTAGAATTGTTAGTCAGCAAAAGATCTAAAATAGAACCCTTATAATGGGTAGAATCGAGAATGAGATTTGAATACTGAAAGTTTAATGTAAATTCTAGAAATTCTTTGCCAATACTATTATTAGCTGTAAGATCATGCCAGTTTATATAAGTTTTATTAAAGTTAAAGTCCCCGATAATGACTACATTATCTTCAGAAATTTTTTGAAGACTTTTGATTATTATTTGTCCGCAATTTTTAAATAATTTAATTTTTTTAAAACTTATCCAAAATTTCAATTAAAAATATTTTTAAAAATTTCTAGATTTTTAAAATAAAATTTACAAAAAAACTTTAACCCACTCCTGTTAGTCAACAAAATTTTTTTTAATTTTTTGTCCGCATTAGTGGAAATTCTGATAATTTAAGAAAATAAATATTCATAAAAATTAATATACTATAATTTTCTATCATTTTATTTATCTCCTTAAATACCCCCTCCCAAATTCATTGCTCCATTTTCTAACTTGAGGAGAATCAACAAACAAATCGCCCGCCCGTCACAACAAAAATAATTATGACTATTTTATTACCCTCCGGGTTGGGTAGCAATACATAGATGACTTTTCTCTTTCCAAATTTTTAATATCAGAGAAATGCTTCCAAAGAACAAAGATAAAGATGATGTAAATTAATTAATTAATTAATCTAAATATCTCCCCCAAAATTCTTTTTTTACTTCCTTTTTCTTTTAAATATTTTTGGGTACATTAACAATCAGACAATTTATTGTATTTTTCGTTAATTTAATTTATAATTTAATAAAACTTGGAAATTATGTTTGAATAAGATAAATATTTACTAAATAATTTATAACTAAGATTGTTTTGTAAACCCGAAAATTTTGATATTTCTTGCAAAAAATGAGTTTTTATGAAATTTTAATTTATGGTATTTTTTGTGAATGATATCTTATTAACATTTACTTAAGTGCTTTTTAAATTCCAAAAGAAATTTTAAAAATAATTATTTTTATTTAAAAAGTAATTATTTAAAAATATTTTCCATTTAACATAAAGTTTTATTTAAATATTAGTAGTACATATTTACTAAAAATTTTCTTATCTTCTACTTAAAATATTATTTTTGGGTTCCACATAATTATATGTATATATTTCCTTCCACACAGTTTATGTACCCAACGTCCGCATAGTGTACCCAAAAACTGGGTTTTTATCTGAAGAAAATGTCCGAATATTTATTTGCTTTGTTTGTGTGCACACAGGAATTTGTTTCCGATGGCGATAATTTCGGCGAGTGCAAAAGGTGATTGAGTACTTAGACAATTTTTGTTGAATGAACAATTTTTGGTTAAAAAATATATTTAATGAGTTTGTATATATGTATAATGCTTAATATTTTGTGTACACAAAACGGAAATAATTACATATTTTGAACAAGAAATGTCTAGAGCTATTTAGTATTAAAACTTTTTCAAAAAATAGTTTCAAATCTCTATGCAGGAATATTTTTTATTTAAATTTAAAAATATATGTATAATTTGTGTATTTATTAATCCCGTTTTGTATTTAATTAATTATTTACATATGTATATATTTAGTGGGCACAGAAAGAAATAAAAAGTAATGTTTTGATAAAAACTTTGGTAGTTCTTTAAAATTATTTTGGGAATTAAGTGATTTTGTTCCTAAATTTAATGAACAAAAAGAATATTTTTTCTAAAATTTATATACGTATTAAGAAAAAAAAGTCAAGTCAAATTATTATGGGTTTTAGTCAATGATGAACTTTAATCAAGGGTGTTTAATTAAGAATACTTATTAATCAAGGATAGGATTTGTTCACTTTTTAACTACTACGTTCCATTTGATATTTATTCTGTAAATTATTCTTTATAATTTCATTCCAAATTTCAATCCTTTGCCATATTTTTAAATTCCGGAGCTTTTAACATTTTTTAAAAATATTAAAGGGGTTTAAAATTTATTTTTCTTTTCCTCGAAAAGTTCATTTAATAATTAAAATCATCATTTCCTTTCGAAGTCCTTTTATTTTATTTTTAAATGTCATCAATTTTTTCCCCCATTTTTCAAGTGTCAATTTCAGCTTTATATTATTTCTACAAAAATAAAAAAAAACCTTTACTGCAAATTTATTTAGTAAAAAGTCTGCTAAATATATTTTTTGAGTGTGTCGAGTATTGCGTGGGAAGAAGTGGAAAAATAAAATTAATCAAAACGACAAATAAATAAATAAATTTTTTTATTAAAATCTCAACATAAACGCCCACAATATGGGTAAGTAATGCATTATATAGAGAATAAATAGTAAGACTTTTTGGCATTTTTTAAATGTGAGAAACATCGAAATAAAGCTTGGCACTAATCAGTTAAAATTTTATTTTTGGTTTATTCTAATTCAAATTTAATTTAAATATATTAAGGGGAGCAGGCCCAATTTCTCTTTTTTAAGTTAAGATCTCCAATCAAAATTATAGTAAAGCAGCTGGGCTATACATAGCTATTTCTCTCCTTTAGCTAGTGCAAAAGGTTATTCGGCGGTTGGGAGCGAACCAGCATTTTTATTAGACCGGACTGATGTGTTAGCCACACCACGCCGCCTACTGCACAGTCCTAGGATGCTTTACATTATTTAAAAAATTTAATTAAAAAACATCCCTTATTATATCCTTAATAATAATACAGTTTTTATACCCAATTTTTTATTCCAAAATATCATTACGATTATTTAAATAAAATATAAAATGTCTGAAGAAAGCCAACAAAACAACAAAAACAATAATGTTCTAATAAATTCACCACAACAAAACGGAAATTTAAAAACAGAAAAATATCAAAAATATCCTGAAAGAAATCTTTTTAATCATATTCCTTTAAATTCTGCACTTTTAGAAAATATGAATAGGGGTGGTTATTTATGAATTTATTGAAAAGAATACAAATCTTACTTTAATTTTAAAAGAGTTAAAACATAAGAATTTTTTGTTTTGTTTGAGACTGATAAGGTTTACGAACAAGAGAATATATGTACAATATTTTTCTAATAAAAATATAGTCTAGTCTGCATTTGAATCAGTCCTAATATATCACAAAAATGAGAGTCTGAAAAATAGAACCACAGTATTTCTTTTAAATTAATCAAGATTAAGATTTCCATGACAGATTCGGACAATTACGGTAAACCTCTCACTGGAGGGGGTAATTAATAGGGACGGGGTAATTATTTGATAGAGGGGCATTATTTAATCATTTACGGTAAGTAATTTTGTGTTAAAACTTTGTTCCTGATAGTTGCTTTTTTATCAATTAATTTATTAAAAAAAATATATTTCAGCACTCTTTCAAGAAATCAAGAATCGTCAGGGAGATTTTATGCGGGCATTTAATGAAGGGGATGCTAAAGGGGCTGCTGAAATATATGATCCAGATGGTTAAAAATTAAATAATTATTTTTAAATAAATTAAAAACAAAAAGGTTATTTTATGCCTAATGGACATTCTCCAGTTAAAGGTCGTTCAGGGATAGAGGCATTCTTTCAAAAAGATATGGCTGATGGTGTTAGTAGTGCACAGGTGTTTTTAAAAATATTTTTAAAATTGTTAGGCTAACTCCTTTATGTAAAATCACTAAATAATCACAAGGTTAGGGGTGTTAGGGGAGGAGGAAGGGAGGTTAAATCTCATTTTTCACTTTTTTTCGGCACTCTCCTATTAACATAACCAATGTTTCGATATAATTATTTTTCAGTAATTATTGTTATATTTTAATATAGATAATAACAGAAGAAGTTAATGGTTCTGGAGATTGGGCTTTTGAAAGAGGAAGTTATCATTTAGAATGGTAAAAGAAAATATTTTTAATTTAGAAGAAATCTTTTTAGTGGAAGAGGTACAGAATCTGGTGCTTATTTACAAGTTTGGAAGCGAATTAATGGTGTTTGGTTGGTTCACAATGATTGCTTTAATGTTGTCCAATCTCCACGGAAGTCATAAATAATGATGGGATTAAAATAATAATTTTGAAGAAATTTGAGGATAATTATATTTGAAATAAGTAATCTCAACAATTAAAAATAAGCTTTAATTTTTTAAATTTAAATATGGTAATAAAAATGACTAGAATGTTAATATATTGAAGAAATAAACTGAAAGTCTCTTAGTAACTACAACATATTAGGGAAAGGATTAGAAATGACAAACTTAAAATTGAAAATTACCAAAAGAAAATTAAGATTATTTATTAGACGAAGTGTTGCAAAGTGTTGACGATATAAATATTTTACTAATTAAATTTTTTAAAAACTATTGACTAACAGGAATTAAAATACAATCTAAATAAAATGAGTACAATGTATGTAAATACAAAAACTGTTTATCAAGACAAAGCTTTCAAATATTAATATATTAGTTTTCAATCCTTTCCACAAATTTCTTTTCTCACACCTTCTTTGGCAAGAAATTTGGGTTAATTGCATAACAAGTTCCACAACAAAGCTTAATAAATGCATACTTCACCAAAGGAATCGGTGACTAAAAATTTTAAGAATTTTGAAAATATTTGAGGTGTAACCTTGCATTTACTAGAACCATTTGTGCAGAAAGAAGATTTTGCTTTATCCACACATGCTTAAGTAAAAGAGATTATTATGAAGCAGGTAGATTAAGCTTACGGATGGGTGCTTTTCCTTTCTCATAAAGCATTGGTGGCGTATTTGCTTTTGTTTTTGACTTAGTGGAAGTCGAAGGCGTAGTGGGTGTCGTGGGCGTTGTTGGTGTCGTGCTTGGGGTTGTAGGTGTCGTGGGCGTTGTTGGTGTCGTGCTTGGGGTTGTAGGTGTCGTGGGCGTTGTTGGTGTCGTGCTTAGGGTTGTAGGTGTCGTGGGCGTTGTTGGTGTCGTGCTTGGGGTTGTAGGTGTCGTGGGCGTTGTTGGTGTCGTGCTTGGGGTTGTAGGTGTCGTGGGCGTTGTTGGTGTCGTACTTGGGGTTGTTGGTGTCGTGGGTGTTGTACTTGGCGTTGTTGGTGTCGTGCTGGGCGTCGTGGGTGTTGTAGGAGTTGTACTTGGTGTTGTTGGTGTCGTGCTGGGCGTCGTGGGTGTTGTAGGAGTTGTACTTGGTGTTGTTGGTGTCGTGCTGGGCGTCGTGGGTGTTGTAGGAGTTGTACTTGGTGTTGTTGGTGTCGTGGGCGTTGTTGGTGTCGTGCTGGGCGTCGTGGGTGTTGTAGGAGTTGTACTTGGTGTTGTTGGTGTCGTGCTGGGTGTCGTGGGTGTTGTAGGAGTTGTTGGTGTCGTGCTGGGTGTCGTGGGTGTTGTAGGAGTTGTAGGTGTCGTGCTGGGCGTCGTGGGTGTTGTAGGAGTTGTACTTGGTGTTGTTGGTGTCGTGCTGGGTGTCGTGGGTGTCGTTGGAGGATCTGTTTCAATTGTTCCAACTCCTTGAGACAATAGAATTACAAGGAAAAGATTTATAATTACTTTCATAATCAAATTTCTTAAATTTTTATTTTAGGTTTCGAGCAAACATTTTTACATAATCATTTCTCTATTAATTTATTTAATAGCTAATGATGTGAAATTCTGATTTAGCTCTACTTTGTACCACCTCTATTCCCTAACTTGTACCCGTGGTTAGCCGATAAACCATCTCATCTCAGACTAGTCGAATTGTTTTTGCTTTTTCCTAGGCTGGGAGGAAATTTAGCCTGCCTTACATTAAATACCCACATAACCCCACAATACCTAATTTTCTAAATATGGGAGTGGATAAAAATTTTTCTCAGTCTCCACCTATTTATATTTGTGTGGGCATCACAGTTTTTAAATCCAAATAAATTTTTAAAAAATCCAAGGAAAACAGCCAAGTAAACAATTCTCTTTTTTTATTAAATAACATAAAGTACATCATCTCCGTTTTAATTTTTTAAATATTTATTTACGTAAGAATTAGAAAAAAACATCCTCAAAGTTAGCCTTAACGTTCAAATCTAAATTTAAACTTTTTATTTACACAAATGTTTAGTTCATTTCTGTCAGTGAGCCAAAATTTTATTTTTATAAAAAATAATTATTTTTTAACGTTTATATTTTAATTAAATTTTTGATTAAATCTGATTTTTTAAATTTCTTCTTTTACGATAATGTAAATTTATTCGATGTTTACTCCAACTTGAGTTTTTAAAAATGTTTTCCAAATAACAGGAGATTTTTAAAATAAATGAAAGAAAATGGAATTTTTTAATTTCATAATTATTAGGTACCGTAAATTTCCTAAAATAGTTTCCTTGTCCCCATTACAAAGTAGATATGAAATATTAAATTTCCGACATCTAAAATAATTGAAATAAATTTAATCAAAATTTTAAATAAAGTTAAAAAATTTTGAAAATATCAAAATATGTATCTATATTTAAATATCATCCCCATCGCCGTCTTCCTTTCCAACTATTTTTCTTCCACTTCCATATTTTCTGCCCCAATTGAATTTTCTTCTCCATCCAGGATATCCATAACCATCACCACCTCCATCACCCCAGCTTCCAGGCAAGTAACGAATTCCTCGATCACTTTAATATTTTTTAATTAACAGAATTATACATATTATTAAAATTTAAGATTATTTAAGATTTAAATTTATTTAAGAATAAAAATAAAATTAAAAAATAATACATTAGAAATATCACAACACATATATTTTTAAGTAGGTATATTAAAAACAATATCATTCTATCCTTCCCGATCCGAATTTTCTCCCAGATTTTCTTCCAAGTTTACCCATTCTTTCTTAACCGTCTCCTATTTTTTGTTTCCATCACTTTTCTTAAATAAATATTGTAATAATTTTAATTATCAAGATTGAGATAGAAATAATTGAAAGAATTATTAATTAATTAAATAACTTAACAGTTTAAAATCATAAATATTATCTTGGAATAAATAAGTATCCCCAGCTTCACTCAACATTGAATATAAAAATAAAAAAATTAAAACTATCATTACAAAAAATATTTTTAGTTTAATTTAAAAATTTAAATCAGAAATAAATTTAGGTATATTTTCCTTTTAATTATTTATAAATTATTTTTTAAAATTATGAAAAAAAGTATGTCAAAAATTAAGAATTGATTTAATTTCAAAAATAATTAATTATAATTAATTATTTTTGATAATTAATTAATAATTAATTCAAAATAATTAATTTAATTTCAAAAATAATAATTTTACCTAAATTTATTTCTGATCTAAATTTTTAAATTAAACTAAAAATATTATTTATTTTATTACAAAAAATGTACTTTAAATTAGTCGCTTTTAAATTATTTACATTTTTTTACAATTAAAAAAATAAATTTAGACTTGAAGATATTAATAGGTATTTCTGTTAGGGGTGTTCGAAAAATCTTTCATAAGCGACAGTTGATGCAACAACAATTAAGAGTATTTTTTAAGAGTATAATTAGATTATAATTAATTACTTTTTCTTAAATTATAAATAAGAAAATTATCTTTTTTTATTTCAAAACAAATAATTTAAAGTTAATTTTTTGTGTAATAAAATAATGAATTATTTTTAAGATTAAATTAAAGTCTCTATTTTTTGATAGGTAGGACTTGTTCCCTTAATAATTACACATTAACTACTTAAAATAAATTAATATTAAACATTAACTTAAAAAATTTTATTTTTTATTAAAACGTTAAATTATAAACAAAATATTTTTTATTTTAATGATAATTTTAATTTTTTTATTTTTATTTAAATATTCATGGGAGAGTAAAGAAGCTGATTATTTATTTAAAAATAATATTTATGAATTGAAACTGTTAAGTTATTTAATTAATTATAATAATTAATTTTGTTTTTATCACATTTTTTAAAATGAATTTTGATTAATTTTTCATTAATTTCTTCAAAAAATATTTAAAATAATTTTTAAAAATTATTAAAGGGACCGAAAAGTTCGTTACTGGCCAGGAAATTGGGGTGATGGAGGAGGAGATGGAGCGGGAGGTGGATGGGGAAGAAGATACAATTGGGGAAGACAATATGGTTCGGGAGGAAGATACAATTGGGGATAATTGAAAAAATAAATTTTTTTAGATATTTTTAATAATAATTTTTTAATTTTTATTGTTTTTATAGTATTTTTAAATAAAAAAGTGTAAATATCTTACCAATTCCGATTAATGTAAAGTCTAAAACAAAATGTTTAATTATTTTTAAATATAGTTTAATTCTAAAATCCATCAAAATCACCTCTACCGAAGTGTTTTAAATTAATTATTTTCCATGCTGTTTGAGAAACTTTTGAAGATGATTGATGTTACTAATAAAAAATTGAAATACATATGTCTTGATAAAGTAATTAACGAAAGGATATTGTAATTTCTATTTTTAGAATTACGAAATAGTTCATTCCATTTACTAATTTTTAAAATAAATAAGAATGGATAATTCTGATATTTTAAAATATTTTTTAAATTTTTTTAATTATCAAAAATTTTTTCACAAAATATTCAACAAGAAAAATCAAAATTTTATTGAAAGATTCACATTCAAAAATTTTTTTCTAAAAACTATTTTTGTTGCCAAACATTTGACAAGTAAGAATAAATAAAACGGAAAAAATTTTCATATGAATTTACACAAATTTATAAAAAACAAAACAAATAAAAATTTGGTATATTCAAGTAATAAAATTAAGGAAATTCTAAAGAATAATAAAAAAAGAAAGAAATTTCCACGTATTTATTATAACAAAAATTTTGTGAAAATTTGTTTAGAAAATTAGTGACGTCGGGAAGTTTTGGGTAAAGATGGTAAAATACGGAAGGAATTCAAGAATTATTTTTTGCCAGGGGCTGGCTCCCGGTATTGGTCAATCAACTCCTGACATTTATGTATATGGATCTTTTATACCGATAAAAAGATTAATTATTTTATAATTAGTATTTTATAATTAGTATTCAGCTTATGTAAGGGACGTTTATAATTAAAGAAATTCTCTTGGTCTTAAATTTAAGGGTGCTTTGGAATCGGGAATTTACAAGAGAATTTTAATCCCCGATTCGGGAATTAGGACGAATAGATCCCTAGTGTACTTTCCATATTTCTTTGCCGCATATTTTAAGCTTTTTTAAACATTTAACAAAAAAGCTTTTTTAAATAACAGAAAATTAAATTCTAAATAAAATAAATATTATCAAAAAAGTTGTAAATAGAATGACAAATTTTGTTTGAGGAAATTTAAAAATAAAGAAATTACAATATTTACATTATATCATGGGATTTACTTCCTTAGTAAAGAAAAGAAGCCACGTATTAAAATGTCTAAGTTTTGTAAATAAGATTTGGAAAAGTAAAAAAAGTTTTTCAAAGGGATTGTATAGGAATATCAAATGTTTAGATTGTATGTACATAAAATGACATATTAAAAAGGTTGCATATAAAAGCAGGTAGATCGAACAGTTAAATCATTACATATTAAATAAAACAAGGAAACATTAACAAAATGAAGGTAATAATTAATATATAATTTTAATTAATGAATAAGATTAAGGTCCTTGCAATTATCTTATTACAATTGTGTATGTGTTCTGTGATAGAATCGTACAAAGGTAGGATTAAAAAATTGACAAATGAAAATTTTTAAATAAAGATTGCTGTGACAAATATAAATCAAACTGCAAGGAATGCAGTTATGGGCAGGTATGTAATGATTATGGTGATTGTGTACCATCTAAGACTACTAAAACCACAACACCTACAACAACTACTACACCTACTACAACCACAACTCCAACTACAACCACAACCCCTACTACAACTACTACACCTACTACAACTACAAGCCCAACTAC